CCATCGTCAGCCTTTGGGGGTTGGCTTCCCATTTTACAGAGACAGAAGTTGAAGCCCGAATTGCAAGGTCACACAGCGGTCGAGGGGCCAGGCGAGGACATGTGTCCTCCGCAGGCGCCTGAGTTTCCTGGGCAGATGGGGGAGGTTCCATCCCACCTGCGAGGCTAGGCCCCTGGCATGGGGGGGGCGGTATGAGAAAGGATGCTGGGTGTGGTGTGACTTTTTACCAGTGGCTCATGGCTTTCCCTTGAAAAATCTGTTCTAGAATCCTGCCCAGGAACTCCTACTTTCTACCATTTGTGTTGATCTAGACAGTAGTAGAAAAGTTGTTTCTGTGCTTCTAGGTTAATAATGGCAGTGTGGCAAAAAAAAAAAAAAAAAAAAAAAATGGCAGTGTGGTTACAGGGAGGAAAGCGAGAATGTTCTTGTTCTTAGGAGGTGTGGCTGAAGGGTTCTGACATGGGGTGTCAGCATTCTGCAACCTGTGCCCAAATTGTCCAGCAAAACACATTATAAATACGTGTGTGCGTGAATGTATGGTACGTGTGCACGTAGTAGGCGTGCAGGGGTGGGTGTGTGATGGGTGGGGAAGACCCCGCCCCCCGCTGCCTCCGCCCCGCCCCCGCCCTGCTCTCTGGCCAGGAAGAGGAGGCCTTAGTCTGGGCTACACTTGTGCCTGGTCCGCGGGAAGCCGTTTTGGCCTTTAGCCTTGCAGGTCATCAGGGAAGACGGACAAACAGGAAAACGGCCAACTGGGCTCAGAGCCTGGCCCTAAGAGGCATGCAGGCCACTGCCTTGGGCTGGGCTGTGCAGGCCTTGGCTGAGCAAGGCCAGGATCTGTGGATGGACTGGAGGGGGCCGGGGTCCTGGACAACGAGGAGAGCAAGGAGGAAGAGCCCAGCCCTGAGGCCCCAGGAGGGGAGGCCCCTCTCAGACCCTGCACACAGTGTGCGGGGACATAAGCGGGTCAAGTGTGCCTTTGTGGGCATTTGGCTTTTATGTGCGTCTGGGTGTGTATGAGAGAGACAGAGACACAGACAGAGACAGAGAGACAGAGATCTGAAGCCGCCCCCTCCTCCTAGGACAGGTAGGTGCAGGTGGGGGAGGGGGGGCGTCCCTGGCTCCCACAGGACCCTGGGGAGGAAGCTTGCTCTCGCAGGGGTGCATTAAGCCCTGGCTTGACCCCGCCCTGCCCCCTCCCTTCCTGTCCCTCATCTCCGGAGGAGGCCCTCATAGGCCCAGGGGGAGCCAACACTCATGTACTGGGGATCCCATGAGCTCTCACCCCTTCCTCGCCAGGGCCCAAGAGGGACAGAAGGAACCTGGCATGAGAAAGGAGTCAAGCTGTGCCACGAGAAAGCTGGGTGCCCTTCAGTAGGCCCCACCCATCTCTGGCCTCAGTTTCCCCACTTATAAAATGGAGCTGCTGAGCTACCTGATCTCCCGGAGCCCTGCCGGACCTGATCTTCTGGTAAGGTGGGCCCTGCGGGGGGCAGGCGCAGGCAGGGGTTGGGGGAAAAGCCTGCCTGATGGTCACAGCCAGACCAAGCTGGGGACCAGCGTAGGAGGGCTCAGGCCCTCACGAGTTGGGGGGGTGGGGAGGACTCCTGGGGACTAGACCTGGGAGGGCCGGGACAGGAAGGGCAGCACAGGAGGCCAGGAGCTTACTTCCCGGTGCCACAGGCAGGAGGCCAGGAGAGGCACGTGGGGGAGGGGAGGGAGAGGAAGTCCCCTCCTGGGCAGGTCACTCCCAGAGGCCGGGCTGGGGCGGGGCAGGGGATGGAGAGCAGATGTGAGCTCCTGGGCCACCTTCGCACCCGCCACTGTCCAGCTGCCCGGAGCCCAGAGAGCCCAGCCAGGTAAGGGGCTTCGAGGGGCCCCAGGGACATGCTGGCCTCTCCTGCCCAACCCCCGCCCTCCCACGGCCACCTCTCCCGGACTCCATCTGGGTGTGTGGGGGAGGCGGGTCTGCATGTCTGCCTCAGATCTTGCGGGCTGCCGAGGTGGGTCCTAGGACATGTTCATCCATCTGCATGATTGCTCCTTTCTATCTTAACCTGCCCAGGATTGGGAGGAGCACAGGGGGCCCTGAGGTCCGTGACTGGCTCAGTGGGGCCAGACCTCACCAACCTTGATCCGACTAAGGGTGTAGCCCCACCTCCCCATTGCGGGAACACACACACACACACACACACACACACACACACAGAGGCACCCCACCACCCTGGCACCTCTCTAGGGGCCCCTGTCTAGAGATAAGACAACGTGGCTGACCCCTCGAATGGGAGGCTGAGCTCGATACCGTGTCTCCCCCAGGCGCTCGAGACACCTGCCCCAGCCCCACCATGCTCGTGGCATCCACCACTTCTGGTAAGGCTCCAGCCCCGGGGCCCCGACCCATCCCCCCACCAATCCCTCCACTGGGATGAGCCAGGTAGGCTGAGTGGGGTTGGAAGAAGCAAAGAAGCCCCTCTTTCTGAGACCTCCCTCACCCTGCTCTCCAGGCTGCCCGTGCGGGGAGGGGAGGGCATGGCATGGCCCTGCGTGCTCACTGGGGGCTGGGGCTGCCCTTCCCTCCCCAGCACGTGAGGCGGGAATGGCATCTGTTTTGCTGGGAGCCGGGACATGGGAGGCTGGAGGGAAGCAGGAGGCCCAGGTTGATGGCTGCTCGGACCACTGGCTCCGCCCGTCCAGCTGGAACCTCCTTGGGCCCGGGGCCCCGTGCCCAGCACACCCCCTAACTTGGCCCTCTTCCCCCGCCCCCGCCCAGCTGTGCCCCGGACCCTCTCCCCCCCTCTTCTGCCCGGCAACAGCAGCGAGGAGCCGCCGGACACCCGGAACCCGCTGCTCGTCCAGGCAGAGCTAGCCCTGCTCTCCACGGTCTTTGTGGCCGTGGCCCTGAGCAACGGCTTGGTGCTGGGGGTCCTAGCACGCCGGGGCCGGCGGGGTCGCTGGGCACCCATGCACGTCTTCATCGGTCACTTGTGCCTGGCCGACCTGGCCGTGGCTCTGTTCCAAGTACTGCCCCAGCTGGCGTGGGATGCCACGGACCGCTTCCGTGGGCCTGATGCCCTGTGCCGGGCAGTCAAGTACCTGCAGATGGTGGGCATGTACGCCTCCTCCTACATGATCCTGGCCATGACGCTGGACCGCCACCGCGCCATCTGCCGCCCCATGCTGGCCTACCGCCACGGAGGTGGAGCTCACTGGAACCGGCCGGTGCTGGTGGCCTGGGCCTTCTCGCTCATTTTCAGCCTGCCCCAGCTTTTCATCTTTGCCCAGCGCGACGTGGGAAACGGCAGTGGGGTCCTTGACTGCTGGGCCCACTTTGCTGAGCCCTGGGGCCTCCGAGCCTATGTCACCTGGATCGCCCTAATGGTGTTTGTGGCACCTGCCCTGGGCATCGCTGCCTGCCAGGTGCTCATCTTCCGGGAGATTCATGCCAGCCTGGCGCTGGGGCCGGCAGAGAGGGCTGGGGGTGGCCGTGGAGGGCACCGGACCGGCAGCCCTGGTGAGGGGGCCCGGGTGTCAGCAGCCGTGGCCAAGACCGTGAGGATGACGCTGGTGATTGTGATCGTCTACGTGTTGTGCTGGGCGCCTTTTTTCCTCGTGCAGCTGTGGGCGGCGTGGGACCCGAAGGCGCCCCTGGAAGGTGCGTGTGGCCGTGGCTAAGCCTGCAGGGGGCCGGCCAGGCTCGGCCGCGTAGGCACCTTCACCCCCCCAGACACCTCCAGCCCCGGGCTCGGGAGCACGCGCATGGGCTCACGTGGATTGCTCTTCCCTAGTGAGCAGACGGGGTCCCTGCACCTCTGCACGGGCAACCTCAGGCCCAGCCCGGACTCTTCCACCCCCACAGAGGCCCCCTTCGTGCTGCTCATGTTGCTGGCCAGCCTCAACAGCTGTACCAACCCCTGGATCTACGCCTTCTTCAGCAGCAGTGTGTCCTCCGAGCTGCGCAGCCTGCTCTGCTGCGCCCAGAGTCGGGTCCCACCCAGCCCGGGGCCCCAGGAGGAGTCCTGCGCCACTGCCAGCTCCTTCCTGGCCAAGGACACTTCCTCCTGAGAGGCTTCTAGAGGCTCTGTGAAAGCCCGCTGCCTGCCTGGGGCTAGCCCCGGGAGCTCTGGGGAGGAGGGGGGCTCTCTGGGAACTGGCTCCGGGGCGTGGGGAGGGGCTCGGGCCGTGGCAGTGGGCTTCCACCCCAGCCGGTGCCTGCCCCTGAGACGGAGGTCCCAGGGAGCCCGGCAGGAAGGAAAGGGGGTGGAGCC